CTGGGGACTGAAGAAGCAGAAAAATGAATCATCTTCTGGTTACAAGTCTTCTAAACTACTTTTTCTCTGTTCTCTGGGGAAGACATTCAAGCTGTGGCCATCTTACAACTCTAAGGACAGCATTCCTTATAGGGAGAAGTTGCACAACCACTTTTAGTTGGAGAGGGAACATCTTTGATGTGCTCTCAACCTCTCCTTTAAAGATGCCTGGAGAGTTTCCATCAATGGTTGTTTTTGAAGATAGAATCAAAGTTTAAATTCAAATATATATGTGTATATATATATATATATATATATATATATAAACAGGAACAAGCCCCAACCTACTTGGGGAGGGGGATTTTATTCTATCGAGAAGTCAAATATCTGAAAAATTATATGTTTTGGCCCCAAATAGTTTGATTCAGATATCCCACAACAATTTTTCATTGAAATGGTTAACTTCTCTCAGGTTTTCATTTTCCTCAGGAAGAGGCAATTCCTATTCTCTATACAATCTCCTTTATTTGGTCTGAGTGGGAGTGTGACAAATTGCAGTAAATATTGCTAGACAATCTCATCTAGGCTCCCTTTCCTACAAAAAGGTGAACCAGATGATCTTTTGAAGTCCCTTCAAACCTGGGCTGTTCCATGATTCTAATAAAACTAGACAGACAGATTTATCAAGGACCAGAGAATCATAAGGCACTGTGTCAGTATTCCCAAATTTAAATGATTCACATTATGGCAAGAATACTTTGTTTTCACTTATATTCTATTATTCTGGTTCTTAAACCCATTTCATTTCTGTGGGAAATGTCTTGATGAGCTCTGTTTTCTATGAAGATGATCCCAGTCCATCTCTCAGAAGAAAGTTATCATACCCCAACGATCAATAGAATTTTAGAAAATTCATAGCTAGCCCAGCCTCTCATGTAGGACTGAGGCACTGTAGGATTTTTGGCACTGAGATCTGCTGCTAACATCAGTTGTGAGCTTGACTGAAAAATTAAAGAGCACTCCCTCCACCCCCTGCCCTTCAAAACCTATTAATAGGAAGGGGGATTTTTGGTCAGGAATTTTTTTTTTGAAGCTGCTGTCACTCTAGGGATCCTCATGGAAGACATGAATGGGGAAATTAGGGCAAGATCAGCTGCATTGATTTGGCTGTTTGCAGAAGGATTTACAGGGCATTGGAGTATCTTTAATCTGTGGAATTTATCTAAGACATGAACCCAGCAGTGGTTAGCTAGTCCTGCAGATATTTAAAACTCATAACGTACCTCCCAGTTTTACCTTGACATTCTATATTTAAATAAAGATAAGCATGATTATGTGCAATAATCACATAGACGAGGCTATTGCCTGCCATCTACACTATGTTGTGATGAAAAAGGAAAGAACTACCTGAAACTGTAAGAAAGGGCTGATCTGTTTGAGTATTTTGGTCATTGATAGGTCTATGCAAATAAAGTAAACAGAAGTCAGAAGGGAATATGCCATGGGTCTAGAAGAAGAGACAGGGAGGAGGCTGAATAGAATCCTGGAGTATTTACCTGGGATCTTTTGGCATTGTCAGAAGCGTCCTCTCCAAGCAGAACTAACAATTTACAAAAAGCAGTTGGATACTGAAACCATTTTGATTTTGACAGAAGGGCAAAGGATCTTTTCTGCGAACTGTGTCAAGACAGCTGTACTGCAAATATGCTTTATCATGAATATATTTTTTAAAAAATAATGAGGTAATCTGTGTGTGACAGTACATACTGATATATACTGACAGTAGATACTGATATTATTAAAATAATCTGTGTATGAGGGTATATACTGAATTTTGACTGAGAATCAGACTGAGTGAGATTTCAGCCACCTTTCTGGATTGTCTTGGCTATTATTTTTCTAATGTATTTTTATTAAAGAACAGCTGAGGGGACAAAAGAAAGAAAAAAAAAAACCAAAACCAAACCCACCACCCAACCACTAACAAACACCACAGCCATGACTGATTTGTGCAATTTGGAAGAGAAAGTGAAATATGACTCTCCTTGTTATTATGGTCTCTTCTTATCTTGCAGAGGTGGAAGTGACAAGATTCCAAGCTGCTGTTGAGCTGCTGTTGGCATCTTAATTGCCTGACATTTTCCAGTTCTGTTTTCAGTTCAGGAATAAGACCTGGTGGCTTTTTCAAATATTGGATAAAACACACTTACACGCTTAGGCTGGTGCCTGCTCAAACGCTGTCCTTATGGTTACGGCTGCTCTCAGAGCACACACTAATTTACACTGCAGTCTTGCTGCTTCGAATTAGCAGAACCCAGAATTTCCTGGGTCTGGGCTGGCTCCTGCAATGTTAATTGAGAAGTCTGTAGCAGGGGAACATGGTGAAATTACTCCCTAGTATTTCTTTGGGTTTATAGAAAGCTCTTACAATTCGGCAGCCATGACTCATTTCAATGCAGAAATCAGTGCGGCAAAACTTTTTTACAGGACATGAAAACAATGCATGATTTCTGTAATTTCTTGGCAGAAATATCTACAGCTTGCAAGATTTGCAGGGATCAGTTATTCTGATCAGCAGGGTACATCAGACACTTTCCACATCTAATTCCTGCTTGCCCTGGGCAAACAAGAAATAGAAACCTGCAGAAAAACCTGTAGTCTGGGGCTTTGCAATTTGAAGATCTCAGAAGATGGAGTTCAGCCCTTGTATGGTTAATCTCACTGAATTTAAGTGTCTATAATGTAAATATCATTATGTGAACTATGTGGCTCCGCTCCCATCACAGTCAACAGAAATCTAGTCCATATATTCAGTGTGAGGATGATGCATCTCTTTCAGCTGTAGGTATCTGTGTCTTCTCTCAGTTGCTTAAATGCAAGTATCTAGTGTCGTTTGAGATGCCTCCGTCTACAGTGGCCTCTCCAGAACTGTGTGGGTGTCCTGTAGTTTAATAATTCACAGGGGATGGGATTAATTTGCCTGCATAAGTGTTTCTAGAGCCATTTCTGATACCCTATGGGATCTGGGACATGGATGGGACTGGCAGGTATGAACTTACAGCACAGACCCTATGGAAGACTGAGGCCCTTCTGCAACAGCAGCCTGGTGGGATCATCTAGTGCATCTCTGTTGCATCTCCATTGCATCTCCAATACAAATTCCACTTGATCACCCAGGGACCAAATGTAGCTTTCTACCACAGTGAATTTGAACTTCTCCTCTGGCTGTGCTGGTTTAGTGAGTAGATCAATAATTTGATAAGCTTCTGTCAGAAACTTCTTCCCTAGATGACCACACAAACATCAGTTGGGACTGGTGGGCTCCATCAGAGGGAGTCTTGTGGCTTTTGTGAACTGAAGACTATTGGCAGGACTAGAGTGTGGTCTAGTCAGAGTAAGTAGACAGATCTCTGCACAGTTTCTCATGGAGACACATCCTTTCTCTACTACCAGCTTTGACTGGAATTGAGTTTCCTGGAAGGTGACACACTGCATGGAAAAATGCAGCTCTCCAGGCTGTCCCTGAAATACTGAAACACCAAAATACCTCACCGGCTTGGTCATAGACAGCATTCTCAAAGTGTCCTCTTCGATTAGAGGAATGAGATTTGCTTCCCATTACCCCAAACCCACAAATTACCATTACCGCGATAATCATGTTATTGCATCGATGTGTTTATTACTGCAATAAATACTGAGGCATTGCCTCAAACATGGAATCAGAAAGCAGGTTCTCACTCAGGTAGCACTCAGAACCCCAACAGTTTTCACTTGCTGAAGCCATGGTGGAGATAGCAGCTTAACCGAAGTGGCCAGCTTTCTGTGCAGTATTCACGTCCCACTTCGAAGCTGCTTGTGCTATGATGGATGTGCTGTGATTTGTTGGGCGGGATAAAGCACAAACTTTCTTCCAGCAAAGATTGATGAGTGCAGAGAGGCAGGCACTGAGGGGTCAGGCTGGCAGCAGTGTCAGGAAAAGCAGGTCTCAAAGGGGTTTGAATGGTAGATTATAAGGGTGAAAGAGTAAGCAAAACAAGCATTTATGATTCAACTGATATTGATTTGAAAAGCCAGCGTAGAACCCCTTTTCAAATATATTGTGATTTGGTGGGGGGTTGTCTCGTTACATGGGATGATGTTTTATTTTTGAAAAATAATTAATCTAGACAATGTGGAACCAACCATGTTTCAGAGATTGACTTCCTGATTTAGAAAAATGACATAAGCAAATCCAAACTGAAAATTCTGTTTTTTCTTTGAAGGGGGGGTATTTAAATCAAAGTAAGGCTGGGATTAGAAAGGCTTCAGATGGATACCCTTATCTTAGTTATTTTAATAGGAATTTGACATTCAAGACCCTAAAATGGTCTGGAAAATCTCAGCCATGAGGATGTATTTACAGACACACAGTACTATCCCAGATCGTGTGTGTATGTGTGTGTGTTTCCCCGTTCCTTAGATGCATTCAGCAATAAGCAATACCGGTTCTTTGCACCTTCCCGGGGAGCAACCAGTGTGTGATGTGAGGCGTGAATGCTCCCCTGCTCCAGCTGACAAGTTGATGGTCAACCTCCCATATAGTTCTATCCTCACATCTAAATATAAAACTGTGCTTGTCTTTTGATGAACCACAGCACAACAAAGGACAGGGGTCCCATCCAGCCTGAAAGAGAGACAGTGTGCTGAAAGTGGGATGGGAAGGAGAGTGTCAGCATGGCCTTGGGGAGGACAAAAACCTCTCAGTGGGACCTGGGTCGTAAGCCAACTTCCCCCATGTACACGCATGTACACACACACACACACACCAAAAATGTTTGACCCAGGGCCAGCCTCCATCCTAAAACCCCCAAATTCTTTTTCCATTTAAGTGCTAATTCATGACAATGCCGTATATGATGGCTCTAAAATAGCCCTGTAAATGTCCTCTCCTTTTATAGCACTGGCCCTATTGTAAGCTCTGGCATGTGACAGGTCTGAGAGTGACACAATGTGTGACTTCAAGAGACTGGACAGGGATAAAGACCTGTGTGCGCTGGTGATCTATTCTGCAGCAGCCACCTCTTTCCTGTCTGTCTGTCTCCTTCTCTCCCTTTCTAAAGCAGCCCACCAGCAAACCAACATGCCTCCAAAGAAGCCTGAACCTAAGAAGGCCGAACCTAAGAAGGAGGAACCCAAACCAGCACCTAAACCAGCAGAACCAGAACCCAAAAAAGAAGTTGAATTTAACCCAGCTTCTATCAAAGTATGTATCTTTTAACCTGGCATGGGAGGAAGCAGGCTGTTGGAGCTTGGGTTCATGGTGGGTTTGGTGGGGGTGGTGTATTCAATGCTGTGAGATGACATTGTCCAAAAGCAGCTCTTGGTTTTAAGCAGAAAGTGAGCAGCAAAGGCAATTGCCAAAGGTAGAGTAAGAGTGGGAGCAAAGTCACTGGGGGAGTCTGCTAAACAGAGAAACTAAAAGCTGAATCTTATTTTATCTGAGGACGTTCAGCCCTGTTTGTGCTGTTTTATCCCTAAAATAGCAAATTTGATTGCATGCAAGACTCACTGACCTCAGTGGGAAACTTATTGCTCTTCCGCAGGCAATGATGGAGGTAGATGCCGGGAAGTTTAGATTGTACTTGGGGCTGACCACTGACTAACCAACGGCCAAGGCTAGATTGCAGGCTTGGAGTGGGCTTGGACTATGGATTGAATTCATTTCTCACTGCCTAGAATGCATCACTTAGGTAGACATCACCAGATTGGGACTTCCTTAAAGGGAGCCAGTGATGCCTCCCGCGGTTTTCCAGAAAAAGCCCAACTGAATGGCAAAGAAACTGTGTGCTTGTGTGTGTGTGTGTGTGTGTGTTTTGGAAGGCAGAGAGAAACTTGGGCAAAAATCCAGATTTCCTGCATGACTTGCTGCTTTCAGGTTCTGCTCCAAGGATTCCTCCAAAGGGCATGAGACTTCCTTCTTCTCCTTCTCCTTCTCCTTCTCCTTCTCCTTCTCCTTCTCCTTCTCCTTCTCCTTCTCCTTCTCCTTCTCCTTCTCCTTCTCCTTCTCCTTCTCCTTCTCCTTCTCCTTCTCCTTCTCCTTCTCCTTCTCCTTCTCCTTCTCCTTCTCCTTCTCCTTCTCCTTCTCCTTCTCCTTCTCCTTCTCCTTCTCCTTCTCCTTCTCCTTCTCCTTCTCCTTCTCCTTCTCCTTCTCCTTCTCCTTCTCCTTCTCCTTCTCCTTCTCCTTCTCCTTCTCCTTCTCCTTCTCCTTCTCCTTCTCCTTCTCCTTCTCCTTCTCCTTCTCCTTCTCCTTCTCCTTCTCCTTCTCCTTCTCCTTCTCCTTCTCCTTCTCCTTCTCCTTCTCCTTCTCCTTCTCCTTCTCCTTCTCCTTCTCCTTCTCCTTCTCCTTCTCCTTCTCCTTCTCCTTCTCCTTCTCCTTCTCCTTCTCCTTCTCCTTCTCCTTCTCCTTCTCCTTCTCCTTCTCCTTCTCCTTCTCCTTCTCCTTCTCCTTCTCCTTCTCCTTCTCCTTCTCCTTCTCCTTCTCCTTCTCCTTCTCCTTCTCCTTCTCCTTCTCCTTCTCCTTCTCCTTCTCCTTCTCCTTCTCCTTCTCCTTCTCCTTCTCCTTCTCCTCCTCCTCCTCCTCCTCCTTTTCTCCTTCAGAAGTCTCTGCTGGAAAGAGTCACTGCTGATCTCAGCAGCATTTGCTGAAGTCTTGCTCAAATGTGTAAGGACAAGATTATATTTCCAAGGTCATTTCAGAAATAAGTTTTGAGAGAATTTGGGGTCACTAATCCTCAGCTGCCTAACTGGCAACACATTGCCCTTTCAGTGAACTACTCCATTGTTAGGAAACTGCCAATGTTTAGGGAACACTCAGAGTTTTAAAGCCGTGAAGTAGATAATTCAGGTGAAATTATGCTGGAGATGTTGCTTCCCTCCAAAATGCTTTTTCCATGGGAATCGACCCTTCAGCAGATATTTGAGAGTGACTCTCTTATTTCAAAAGAAATTTCTCTCAGAGAGTGATAAGGAGAAGAAATTTATAGATGCCTATGGAAATGAACATGAAATGGACTGTCAAAGAGTGATCTCCTGACTTATAAAACTGCAATAAGCAAATAAAGATCTAAAAATGAGTAGTTCCTCTTTGCTCCGTCTGCAATGTCAGAGACTCCTGCGTGCATCTTTAGGAATATCTTTCCCATAGTGTTTGCACAGTAAGTACCTCATGACAGGTAGACACTGCAAGACATAGCAAGATTTCTTTTCAAGGTATTGTCTTCTGGGAATTGTCCTTTGGGAAAAGGTGTTGCCCTCAGGGAAAAGAAGAAGAGCTTTGCATCATCTCACAGGTTATTTTCTTATGGGGATTTGGACCATCCAGCAGCTGGGTGTCAATCAGCATTATTTTGTTGATTAGTTTAAAGCAGTGAGATTCTTTCCTGTTTCTTACAAGGAACTGAGAAACCAACAGGGGAGTCCTGGTGGTCACCTGTGTTTAAGGTGAACCAGAGGACAGGAAACAAGACTGGATAATGCCAAAGAAGAAAACAGACAGAGTTCACTGCCATCCATGGAGCTGAGATGAGGGATGAATGTCTCAGGGATCCTCTCTTGTTAGCTAAAAAAATGTAGTTTCTCCCTCAGGGAAACACAGAAGCTATGTGAGACAGGGAATATGTTACTCTGTCACTTCAGCATGCCTCCTGAGTGCACCACAACAGGTCTCATGGTTGGCTTGTAAATCGTGTGCTGCTGAAACCTTTTATTTCTTGCACACGGGAATGACTCTTGCATCTGGGGATTTCTAACAGAGGCAGTACTGAAAGTGCATTTGTCTTACCTTGAATCATAAACACCTTGCAATTCTTGTTGTTTAAACACCGGTGAAAAAAAGCGCAATCATTTGTAACTATATCAAGAAAAAGTCAAATTACAAGGAATTCAGTTTTGAGCTAGCTTTTAAGGTAATGGCATCAGAGATATTGCTGTGGCTCTGAGAAGAACTTCCACCATGACCTTGGGCAAGCGGTACGTGGTGGGATCCAGCTCCCTGCTAGCATCTCTGTACTTAAAATTCCTGCACTGTGAAAAGAGGAGGAGATAATTGCCATAACTTCTCTCTGAGGGCACAGAGAGCTTCAGCCAGGATACTGTGACATTGTGATAATGTTCAGCTGGGATACTGTGACACTGCGGTATGAAGGGCAGCTAAGTCCAGTGGGGAGATGAGTCGTAATTTAGAAATACAAATCCCTAACTGATACCTCCCAAAAAATATACATGCATCATTGTAGCCAAGACAGATTCAGGATCATCAAATACTTTTTAATCCAAACAGGATTTGAAACCAACTTATTTCTGCTTTTTTTTTTTTTTTGAGTTTACTGACAGCACACTTCTTTATGCAAATTCTTTTTTTTTTTTCCCTCCAACACAATTTGCACTTATGGACTCTAACGTTTTTTTAAAGTGCTAAAAAACATGTCTTAAGTTTCTAAAAAATAAGTAAACCCAGTACTCCTGTGATAACATCTCTTAATCTTTGCAGAGACTATTCCATTATCTACTATACAGAAAACTGGACTAGGCAAAGTGCTGGTAGATGTTTGGGTCTGTTTGTTTGCTGCTTTTTTTTTTTTTTCCCAAAAGGGGAGATGATATTCTCTAGAGAAGTTTTCTGGGAATTTTTGAATTAAATGTTTTTAATCAAAAAATGCTTTTGTCAAAATTGAAACTATTTGTGTACAGGGGCTGGGTCTGGCAAAGACACTGCTTCCTGCTTCATAAACCTAGCTCTGGTGGAGCTCAGGCCATCTGGTGTAGATCAGAATACCTCCCTAGATCATTGTACAACATTTTTAAAAAATACTTTAATGAGTTTTGAAATTCTCCAAACATCCCATTTCTGCATTCCAGGATGAAACTGGCTGGATCTTGTTTTCATGCAGAAGACAATCGGTAGTTAAAAAAAAAAAAAAAAAGGCGAGAAAAACAACCTCATATCAAAACAAAATGTTAAAAAATATCAAGATGCATCTTTTGATGGGAATGTCTCAAACTGTTAATATTAATTTTCAAACCTTATTGTGCAATTTTGTATTTGGAATTTTTAAACACTTTTTTTTTTTTTTTTTTTAGACACTAAAAAGTCTCAAAAGTAAAATATTTATATGGTAAAGTACTTCTTGTTTCAATTTTCCTGACTGTTATAGTCTGCTGTCATGATAATGGTCTAAGAGCCTTATTTTACACTCCAGAATCATATTAGATTTTCTTATTGTCTTTCTCTTGCTGTTTCATGGTTGTGGTCTGTATTGGGTGCCTATTGGGTACCAGTTACAGTGGCCTAAATGTTAGATACGTCCCCTCAAGTAAATGCAGTTATTCTAAAGTTTTAATGTTACTTACATACACATGTGAGTATAGGATTTGACTTAATACTTAGAAATTTTCAAAATAGATTGTGATCGATCAAATGTTGTTTGCAACTTACAAAAAAGAGGGTTTGGGTTTTTTTGTTTCTTTGTTTTTCTGTAACAGTTTGACTGAGTCCATGAGGAAGTCTACTTTTAAGTGTTTCTCTAGAATGGTCCTATCCTGAAAAGATTTTGTAGCAATATATCTAATTTTCCATATATCCGATTAATTCCCACCTGAATTCTGTCTTTTAGCAGTGGGCACATTTTGCCAGAAATACATCCTGTTCTCCTGAAAAATAGTAATGCTGATACAAAACAGGATAAAATTGGTATTGTTATGGAAATGGGATTGGCTCATCATTGGAAAGCTGATCATTGATCTGAAACAGATCATCTATAATCAGCAAAGAGAAACTCTCTAGAGGCTTGTCCCTTGCCGTAATGCTAAACACCTATATTGGGAGGGACTGAATCATCCTTGGGAGATGCAGTTTATAGAGAGAGATGAAACAGGTATTTGGGAGTCAACATTTCAGCAGCTAAAATTAGCTGAGATGATGTGTGCTCAAATTCCAGTGAGTCCTGGGTGCAAAAAGGCCATGCAGAGACAGCTGGCCTATGTGAAGATGTGGAAGGGACATGACTTACTATATAAAGTTATCCTTAATAACCACATTTTCCCTTGTCATCACTCGATAAGCTCATTGTAGCAGCAAGCAGTAATACAGGTGCCTGGGGGGAAAAAAAAAAATAAAAATAAATCATTGTTTATTTTTGTGGACTACCGTGATCTTGAAGCCATGGGAAATCTGTGTTCCCTGAAAAGCCCTGCAGGGTTCTAAAC